ATTCAAGCTAGCCAATCCTAGTGCCCTCCCTGTGTATTCAGTAGCTACCCAAAATAGATTTGGACACTTGACAGAGGAGGACACTGACTCTAGACCAGTTGTAGATGTTGACGGATCCACAGTAAATTTGACACAAACAAGACGCAGATATCCCAGACAACATAAGTCAAAAATAGTAACTTGTCCAGTCTCAAGTGATGGTCCCCTTGTATCAGCCATTGTACATGGTAGAGTTTTAAAAGTTTTTCTTGACTCAGGTGCAAAAATTAATATTGTCAAGCCCTCAGCTCTTAGAGACATTGAAAGTATGCACCCTACTATTTTAAAACAGTCACACATACCTTTTCTAAGTGGTATTTCAGGAAATAAAGTAAAAGTTCAGGGTGAAATTGACCTCCCACTCAAGTTCAATGATGTCACATTGTCTATAACATGTTTAAATGCATTAGGAAGCAATGTGGTGGAAGCTGACTCCATACACAGTTTCAAGTGTAGATATGATAGAGCCCAATAGGCTCAGGAACCTGTACACCTGTTGATTGACGATTGAGAGCCGGGACCATAGAGCCAGAGCTCAACCCCCCGCAAGCACAATTAGGTGAGCATACACACACACACACACACACACACACACACACACACACACACACACACACACACACACACACACACACACTAAAACAAAAAATAAGCGAGCCTGAGATCACCGGAGTTGGCAGAGGCTTTTTTTTGTTGAGACGCTAGGCTCCAGGGCTGATGCCATTGGGGGGATTATTTTGAGGTGATTATGGCTGCTGCAGCCGCCGCTTACTGCTGGTGGAGTGGTCGTGGACCTGCAGGGAGAGGCGGAGAGGCGGGGGAAGCACAGAGAGAGAAAGGGAAGGGAAGGAATAAGGAAGGAGCAAGAAAAAGTTAGGAACTAATGTGCACTATGTGTAATGTGTGTAACGAAACACACACACACACACACACAGTGTGTCGAGCCGTCGGTAATCTTGGGACACACTTTGTCTCCCCCGGAAATATTGGATTTTAAAATTTACTGGAAGGACAGACTGTGATTGATGGGCAGATGGACTGTGAAGGGACGACGCTGGTCGATAGACTGTGTGACCGAAGTGTGTCTCGGAAGCACCTTTAACTGTTCCGTTGTTGTGTTGCGTCGATACCTTGAACAAACAGCCGCTGGCATAATATAATTCACTATAATTGTTTCTACGTCTCTCTCTCTCTCTCTCTCTCTCTCTCTCTCTCTCTCTCTCTCTCTCTCTCTCTCTCTCTCTCTCTCTCTCTCTCTCTCTCATAGATGCACCTAAATGTCTTCCTCATTCACAAGCACAATTTTTCGTTTCCCATTTGGTCTCAAAGCAGAAATATTAAGGCAGCAGACGAGGTCATCGTCCCAGACTCTGCTGATCCCAGACCCAGAGAATAATTCGACTATGAATGTTGATGTCAGTTTTACGATGAACACTGATGACGTCTTGCGTTAACTCTATATTTTGGCCTAGTGGCCTGATACAGGAGTGAGGATAGGGAGGGGGGGGGGGAGATAGAAGAGAAGGTATTAGGAGGGAATAGATGGGAAGGTATTAGGAGGGAATAGATGGGAAGGGGAAGGTATTAGGGTGGAAAGATTGTAACGTGGAGAAGAATAGGGAAGTGTGAGGTATAAAGTCTAAGTAAGAATATGTGAAGAGAAATAAGAAAAGGAGATAATGTTCAGTTTCCTCTCTCGATTACCTTGATCCCCTCAGAAGGGGGGGGACGGTGAGAGAGGGGGGGGGGGGGCGGTGAGGGAAGGGAGGGGGGCCGAAGAGGGAAGGGGGGGGCAGCGGAAGGGGGCATGTGAGAGGAGGGGGGGAAGGGGCCATTGAGAGGGAATTTAGCGTCTCGGGGTCCAATATTAACGTCATCATGTAATACTGTTTTCTCGTAAGTGTCAAGGTGTCTTACGGCCGCCTTCCTCAACCGTGTGTCGAAGACACTACCACCATCACCACAATCACCACCATCGCTACAATCACCCCCACCACTATTCCAACTACATCAATGCTATACTCCCCATCCCCCCACCATCAAGTCAATCACCATTTTTGCCATACCCACCACCACTATTTGACCACCGTTATTACTACCACCATTCCTACCCCCCCCCCTCCCCTATCACCACTACCTTCACAACCACCATAACTACCACCCCCCAAGCCCTGTCGCGGCGCCGTTGAGAGACCGAGATAAACAAAAGGGTTGCCGTACACACGTGTGGTTCCTGCTGACCCGGGCACACGGCTTCACCTAGCCTAATATCCCCCCCTCGCAGGATTTACATTGCAAATGTCGCCATTAGATGTAATCTATCTTCAAAATCATCACATAATACGATGCAAATTTAGCCGGCAAATAAAATTTAGCTGCAAAACTGAACAAAAATGTATACATAATCGTTCGTCATGAATATTTAAATTTCTTTCAAATGTTGTATAATAATTGCAGTGAATAAGTGAGAATATCATGGGGGTTGTTATGCAAAACTGCGGCATTAGCCTCGTCCATAGATGGACAAGTTCTCTTTAACTAACTTGTTCTCCAAATGTTAATTTAACTGTATTTTGTATTTATGGCATTTCAGAATTTAGGAGAGTTAGGCAAGCCGTGTTGAGAGCTTACACAGTATTAACTTATGTTCAGCAAAATTATGAAATGCCTTTGTTAAGTAAAGGAAGCATGTAACAGTCCTATCAAGGCCCCTCCTAGGACCTACGTCAACTATTTGCAACCGACAACAGTTCCCTAACTCCCGGGCACTGGTATCCTGCTAGGCGAACAGTTGCATTAGGTGAAAGGAACTCGTTTGTCTTCCGCCCGGGGATTTGGCTCAGGTCCATTGATTACGAAGAGAAAACGTAGCCGACTGTGCTACAGGACCCATATAAACAGGATAATGTTTTGTTTACAAGATCTAGAGGATACACTCGTAGTTCCTGGTGGCGTAGTGGAAACACCCCATGCCTCGCCAGCGATTTGGTCTGGATTCGAGCCCCTGACAAGGGAGGATTGACTGGACGCCAATCCTGAACTGTTCGCCCCGTTTTCACCTAGCAGTATTTGGGAACCTGGGTGATCACCGACTGATTGGCTGTGATCCAGAGACTACCAGCAGGGTAAGGCCTACCATGAGTTATAGGAAGGGAAAGTTCTCAACCTGCTAACAGGAGTCACAAGTCGTCTGCTCCTGTACCTTCCTGCTCCTGTACCCTCCTGCTCCTGTACCCTCCTGCTCCTGTACCCTCCTGCTCCTGTACCCTCCTGCTCCTGTACCCTCCTGCTCCTGTACCCTCCTGCTCCTGCACCCTCCTGCTCCTGTACCTTCCTGCTCCTGTACCCTCCTGCTCCTGTACCCTCCTGCTCCTGTACCCTCCTGCTCCTGCACCCTCCTGCTCCTGCACCCTCCTGCTCCTGTACCCTCCTGCTCCTGTACCCTCCTGCTCCTGTACCCTCCTGCTCCTGCACCCTCCTGCTCCTGTACCCTCCTGCTCCTGTACCTTCCTGCTCCTGTACCCTCCTGCTCCTGTACCTTCCTGCTCCTGTACCTTCCTGCTCTTGTACCCTCCTGCTCCTGTACCCTCCTGCTCCTGTACCCCCCTGCTCCTGTACCCTCCTGCTCCTGTACCCTCCTGCTCCTGTACCCTCCTGCTCCTGCACCCTCCTGCTCCTGCACCCTCCTGCTCCTGTACCCTCCTGCTCCTGTACCCTCTTGCTCCTGTACCTTCCTGCTCCTGTACCCTCCTGCTCCTGTACCTTCCTGCTCCTGAACCCTCCTGCTCCTGTACCCTCCTGCTCCTGTACCTTCCTGCTCTTGTACCCTCCTGCTCCTGTACCCTCCTGCTCCTGTACCCTCCTGCTCCTGAACCCTCCTGCTCCTGTACCCTCCTGCTCCTGTACCTTCCTGCTCCTGTACCTTCCTGCTCTTGTACCCTCCTGCTCCTGTACCCTCCTGCTCCTGTACCCCCCTGCTCCTGTACCCTCCTGCTCCTGTACCTTCCTGCTCCTGTACCTTCCTGCTCCTGTACCCTCCTGCTCCTGTACCTTCCTGCTCCTGTACCTTCCTGCTCCTGTACCCTCCTGCTCCTGTACCTTCCTGCTCCTGAACCCTCCTGCTCCTGTACCCTCCTGCTCCTGTACCTTCCTGCTCCTGTACCTTCCTGCTCCTGTCTGAACCCTCCTGCTCCTGTACCTTCCTGCTCCTGTACCCTCCTGCTCCTGTACCCTCCTGCTCCTGTGCCTTCCTGCTCCTGTACCCTCCTGCTCCTGTACCCTCCTGCTCCTGTACCCTCCTGTGTAAAGGGAAAATAAATTGTAATCGCGTGCAGTCATTGCCAAGGTCAATGGAACAGAGAAGAAAAACTCTTTGAGTGCTTTCGTATCTGACCTCATCATCCTCAGATGTACAGCGGCTTTCATTGTCCCGCCTCGGAATAAATGATCATTCATATAGTGAACATCGAGATCACAATTGTCGTCAGCAGACCGGAACGACGCGTCGCCGCCCCCTGCCCCCCCCCCTCCCACGACGCGTCGCCTCCCCCTGCCCCCCCCCCTCCCACGACCCAACGCCGCTCTCTGCCCCCCCCCCCCTCCTCGACCCAACGACGCGTAAAATCGCTAAGATTAATTTTATTAATAATAACAGCAATAATAATAATTTTTTCATTTACCAGGGCTCCAGGTGACGTCAACCATGGACCCGACGCGAGGCAGGAGCTCTATACACTCTAAGTGGATAGAGCTTCTGCCTCACACGCCTGGGGTCCAGGGTTCGAATCTCCTATAGAGCCCAGCTGAATGAAAAGTTTTATTTCCACGGAAGTGTGGATGATAATTTAATAATAATAATAATAATAACCAAAAGGCTGGAACACAATTACAAATGTAATCAATATTTATATTGAAGCGTTGTCTTATCTGTTTAGGAATGTGGGGTTTAAGTGTTTTTAAAGTGATCTCTCTCTCTGTCTCTCTCTCTTGCGTATCGTGCTAGAAGGTTTTCCTGAGGAAGAGAAGGTGCAAATGGAGGACTTGGTGCAGCAGAATGGTGGAATACTCACATCTCTCGATGACCCGCAGGCTACACACGTGGTGTTAGAAGACCAGACGATGACAGAGAAGCCAGCTGACTGTCCACCACGAGCACATGTTGTAAAAGCCGAGTGGTTTTGGACTTCAATACAAATGGAAGCTTGTCCCGATGAGAAACTTCATCTTTTTGAACAAATGAATTTAAGCACTCTGATGAGTCCACGGCAAATGTTTTCATCGCCAAGTACTCCAGGTTCAAGAAGTCGTCGGCGTAAACGTCTAAGAGAAACGGTGCAGCATTTAGCTCAGGATGACTCGCCCTCCACATTGCCCTCTGCTCCACCTGCAAGCAAGCGAAGATCATCAGTTGGTGATTTGGCATATTTATCTGCGGAGGGCTCTCTCCTTGACGACACAGTCTCGACACCCAATAGACTCCTTAGCAGGTGTTACAATGAACTAGACGGTGTTGACCAGACTCCACTTAGTCCTCCACCTGTTGATCTTCGGCAGCTTTCTGCAAGACAGCGTGTATTCCATGAGTTAGTTAAAACCGAATGCAATTATGTTAGTATTCTAGATGCAGTAGAAAAGGTCATTAAGGTTCCACTTGAGAACACTTTACAACCTGGGGGACCCATGTTAGATGCGCAGGAACTCAGATATATATTTGGTAACTTGCCACCAATTCACGAGGTTCACACAAGAATGCGTAATGATCTTCTACACCTTGCTCACAATTGGACTGATGATGCAAGCATTGGAGAAATTATACTTAAATATTCCACAGACTTAGAGAAAGCTTATCCACCTTTCATTAACTTCTTTGAAAATATGAAAGAGATGTTGCAGAAAATTTCAACGGAACGACCAAGATTTCATGCATTTCTCAAAATTGCCCAAAACAAGCCAGAGTGCGGTCGACAGAGCTTACAAGAACTTATGATCCGACCAGTTCAGAGATTACCTTCTATGAGTTTACTTATTAATGATATTTTGAAGCACACTGAGTATAACACATTCCATTTGTCAACCACTCTGACACTAAAAAAAGTTCTTTTTAATATCTCTGTGGCTCATTTGGGCACTCAGTTTCCACCTATGTCCCCTAGTGCGTGTGTCCCTTGTGTTAAATAGACTGTCTTTATCTACCCTATCAATTCCCTTGAGAATCTTGAATGTGGTGATCATGTCCCCCATAACTCTTCTGTCTTCCAGCGAAGTGAGGTTTAATTCCCGTAGCCTCTCCTCGTAGCTCATACCTCTCAGCTCGGGTACTAGTCTGGTGGCAAACCTTTGAACCTTTTCCAGTTTGGTCTTATGCTTCACTATATATGGCCTCCATGCTGGGACTGGATACTCCTGGTTTGGCCTGACATATGTGGTATACAAAGTTCTGAATGATTCTTTACACAGGTTTCTGAATGTCGTTCTTATGTTGGCCAGCCTGGCATATGCCGCTGTTATCCTCTTGATATGGGCTGCAGGGGACAGGTCTGGCGTGATATCAACCCCCAAGTCTTTTTCTCTCTCTGACTTTTGAAGAATTTCATCTCCCAGATGGTACCTTGTATCTGGCCTCCTGCTCCCTACACCTATCTTCATTACATTACATGTGTGTGTGTGTGTGAGTGTGTGTGTGTGTGTGTGTGTGTGTGTGTGTGTGTGTGTGTGTGTGTGTGTGTGTGTGTGTGTACTCACCTAGTTGTACTCAAATGTCAATCAACTGATGTACAGGTTCCTGAGCCTACTGGACTCTATCAGCCTCCACCACATCACTGCCTAATGCATTCCATTTATTAACTACTCTGACACTAAAAAAGTTCTTTCTAACGTCCCTGTGGCTCATGTGGGTATTCAGTTTCCATGTGTGTGTGTGTGTGTGTGTGTGTGTGTGTGTGTGTGTGTGTGTGTGTGTGTGTGTGTGTGTGTGTGAAAGGGGGGAACGAGTAGTAGTGTGCGAGAGTGTGAAACTATGTGAGTGAGAGAGTGAGTGTGGCAGTAATTGCATAGCGGGCGTGTGTGTATTCATATATACATTTATATATGTATGTGTGTGTACTCACCTATTTGTGCTTGCGGGGGTTGAGCTTTGGCTCTTTGGTCCCGAGTGTGGACCTAATCTACCAATTCTGTGTGTGTACTCACCTAGTTGTGCTGGCGGGGGTTGAGCTCTGGCTCTTTGGTCCCGAGTGTGGACCTAATCTACCAATTCTGTGTGTGTACTCACCTAGTTGTGCTGGCGGGGGTTGAGCTCTGGCTCTTTGGTCCCGCCTCTCAACCGTGTGTGTGTGTGTGTGTGTGTGTGTGTGTGTGTGTGTGTGTGTGTGTGTGTGTGTGTGTGTGTGTGTGTGTGCGCGTGCGTGTGTGTGTGTGTTTGACCCCTAGAAGCTAACTAAATTTTCATATACAAATATCACACCAGTAAGAAACAGTAGAAAAGTGTCACTGTATTAATCTACCAATGCTTCTGCAGCCGGAGCCATGCAGCTAACGCTCGACCGTGCAAGCACATGTATGTGAGGTGCGGGAAAAAACCCACCGCAGGCAAATACTCTCTTCGCGCCCAAGCCTGTGATATCCTCCAGAGATTCTGCCCGACTCAACACTGCTTCCTGGTTATTGCGGAGGACGTGTGAAGGGACGATGAAGGTTCCTCATTAAACATTATGGGCCGTATTTAGTGTCTTTTTCCCTTGATCCTACTAATGCCAGGTGTGTGCGTGTGTGTGTGTGTGTGTGTGTGTGTGTGTGTGTGTGTGTGTGTGTGTGTGTGTGTGCGTGTGTGTGTGTGTGTGTGTGTGCGCGTGTGTGTGTGTGTGTGTGTGTGTGTGTGTGTGTGTGTGTGTGTGTGTGTGCGTGTGTGTGTGTGTGTGTGTGTGTGTGTGCGTGTGTGTGTGTGCGTGCGTGTGTGTGTGTGTGTGTGTGTGTGTGTGCGTGTGCGTGTGCGTGTGTGTGTGTGTGTGTGTGTGTGTGTTTTAAGTATTTCTCAGATGACGTCACCTACGTGTACTTGCAACATTGAAGTTCAGCTCCCGGGCTCCGTCTTCCAGAGACTGGTTTAATGCACAGGCTATCATCATACCTTTCCTGAAGCTTTTATCCTCTAAATCAATGCCCGCCGACCTGCATGAAGCGAGACCGTCGCTCTACCGTCCAGCCTCAAGCGCTTGCCATAATAGAGTGACTGAAAACAAATAACCAAACCTTCACACATAAAAATAACACAACCTGACGAAGCCTTTAGATCCATTTTTACCATAAATTGTTTATTTTCACCCCCTCCCCCTTTCACTGGCAGTATTACGACTCTATTTCTTGAGTAAAGAAGTACGGAAATGCCATCTTCTATGTTAATGGTTTATACATAGTATTTTTAGCCTGATAAATATGGACTTAAGTGAATATGTGTGTGTGTGTGTGTGTGTGTGTCTGTGCACTCTGACGGGGCCTGTCTACCCGCCTGCTATCATAATCATTGGTACCACAATTGGTACCAATTGGTACATTAGTACCACAACACCTCACAAATCATATTGGTCCCAGCAAAATTATTACACATCTAAATAATTTGTTTGACGCCTAGCTAAATCCATGAAAGAAACCAGCACCATACCTCACTATCTTTCTCATCCACGTTGTGAGCCTCACACCATTTCTGCATCAACCTCACTATCATCTCAAAGTGTTGTGCCGATCTCTCACGCTCTTGCCGTCTCGCATCCCACTACTGGCAACAGTGTGTCCCAATATATATATAGCGATGGGCTTCTTCACATAAGTCACCAACGCACCCTTTGAGGCGGGCACATCAAGCTAACATCAAACGCAGCGCATGATACAAAGCTAATTGCTTAAATATTAAGATAAAATATACCTTTTTTGAGGGGAAATTAATAATGGCAGTTTAGATTTTTTTTTTTTATTTTTTAGCATATTGGACAAATGTTGCCACAAGAATTTAATAAAAACATTCACTCATCATTTTTATAAGGGTAAAACTTACATAAACAATAAAAATAATGTTATTACCGTTAGTTTTAGCAATTACCTGAAATATAACAATAATATTTCCATTCACTTCAATCATCGAGTATTGGAACAAATCTCTGATTATTCCAGTGAATGAAAAGGGATTACCTAAGCTATTGTTGATTGTTTTATAACAGTATTGGAGGGAGACGTACCCTTTCCTAGGTGTATATATATATATATATATATATATATATATATACTTGAGAGAATACTCTAGTTATGGACTATGTCCAGGACAGAGAAATTATTATCTGTCGGCCAGTAGGCTGCTGTTGTGGCCTTAATAACCTTCCAGAGGTTGATAAGCCTTAATAACCCTCCAGAGGTTGATAGGATTTAATAACCCTTTAAACGTTGATAGGCCTTAATAACCCTTCAAAGTTTGATAAGCCTTAATAACCCTCCAGAGGTTGATAGGTCTTAATAACCCTCCAGAGGTTGATAGGTCTTAATAACCCTCCAGAGGTTGATAGGCCTTAATAACCCTCCAGAGGTTGATAGGCCTTAATAACCCTCGAGGTTGATAGGCCTTAATAACCCTCCAGAGGTTCATAGGCCGTAATAACCCTTCAAAGGTTGATAAGCCTTAATAACCCTCCAGAGGTTGATAGGTCTTAATAACCCTCCAGAGGTTGATAGGTCTTAATAATATTCACTAACTCGTTAACATATTTACTCATTCACTGATTCGTTAAGACATTTACTTATACATTATTTATCAATTTATTTATTTATTCCCCATTTATTCATTCGTTCTTTCATTTCCTTGTTTATTTAGTCTTTTGTTTATTAATTACTCATCGAAATATTTCATGTTAATACAAATTTTGCATTTTTTCTCTTTTATTATGTCTAGTTGTCGTCCATTTTTATTTATTTCCTTAAAAATTCTGTTTAAATGAGGGTTTCCCATATTTCCTCGTGTCATATTCGTCAAATGCGTAATGAACGCAACTCGTCATCATAGCCATCGTCATTATAATGATAATCCTCATCTTTACCTCATTTTCCTGGTTATCATCACCGCCTCTCTTTGCTCATATGTTTATCTCGTATGTTTACATACTCTTCTCCCCTTCTCTCACCTCTCCTAACCGTTGTTGTTATAGATTCAGCTACTCGGAACAAGTTCCAAGTAGCACGGGCTATGGTGAGCCCGTAGTGGACTTACCTGGCACAGGAGCGGTGCTGTCTCCTAACCTTCTCTCGCCATTTTTCAAGGTGTCCTATCCCTCCGTTCCTCCTCCTCCTCACCCAGGTAGCTGACGGCTAGGCTTGCTGCGACTGTCAGGCAATCAGTTATGGGCTACTGAGGGCGTTCGAAATGTATTCATTCATACATAGTTATTCAGTTTCATTTATATACTGTACGAATATGAAACGTATGTATTGAATCTACTCTCCTACAAAGCCCAGAGCTTCTACCCGGGCTGTGGTCGTCAGGTAGGAAAATTATTCCAACAGATATAGGTATTAAAGTTTCCATTAAGCGCTAAATGATACATTCAAACGTTTGTCAAATACCTACGCATGACGCGACGAGGACAATTCCTCGCATAAGCCGGATATTGCAACGCAGTGTTGCAAGAATTGGGAATAAATTCAACTCACTAGGAATATTTTAGCCCCCCCCCCCCCCTCTCCACCACTGCAAGCGGAGAATCGAGTAATAAGGGTAAAGCTTTTAAGTAAAATTCCAATGTTTTATTCACATGTATGTGTGTGTGTATTCATAGTTGGGTTCACACAAATTTACAGTAAATTTTCACCTAAGGAATAAGTCATAATAATATGTAACATCTGTCCCATTCCATTCCACAAGTTTTTAGGTAACATCTGTAATTATAAACGGCATACGCAATAAGATTTAGAAGCTACATCTATCAGTAATGTAAAAATCATTAAAGTTGTCAAATTCACAAACGGAAAATATGTTCGTAACGATTTTTACAAATGGTTACATTAACAGCTGAACTGAACAGGTGTACATCAGTCCAAATCAATATTTACAATTTTGGTACACGATATCCTTTAGCTTACAATTTAAAAGGTGATATATGTTGAAAAAAAATAAAGTGAAATTTACCATTAGAGATGTAAGATTTTAGCACCCTTTATATCACAAAATTACGATGATTTGAGGACAATTTCAAGAACTATTAAACTAGTTATTACATGAAATTTTATAGAAATTTCGCAACCCATCCTCCTGATAAGAGAGCCGAGCGGACAGCACGCTGTACTTGTGATCCTGTGGTCCCGGGTTCGATCCCGGGCGCCGGCGAGAAACAATGGGCAGAGTTTCTTTCACCCTATGCCCCCTGTTACCTAGCAGTAAAATAGGCACCTGGGTGTTAGTCAGCTGTCACGGGCTGAGGCCTGGTCGAGGACCGGGCCGCGGGGACACTAAAGCTCCGAAATCATCGCAAGATAAGATAAGACTACTTTATGTAATTATAAGGATGATCGCACAAATATCGATACGATGGACAAATACAAAATAGAATTTGGTGCTACTCATTTTATAGTCCGGAAAAAATAAAATTCAAACCTAAATATTCCAAGACTTGGTATAGCTCATATACGTACTATATTAGGCCTCAACATCTATTGGACCAAGGATAAGTTAGGTTAGGCTTCATCAACAACATAACTAGAAAAACTTTTCCACTTTGTCCAAATTCAATAACACAAAAGTCTACCATATATTGGTCCATCACGTCCATATCTGTACGATCGACCACATCGTTGCTATCAGCACTTTCATTTTAGGAGAATGGACTGGAATTTTCACACCTTAATTCGGCCTCAACAGAGGCCGAATTCCACCAACATCAACATTATTGTTTCCATCAACAGATGGAACAACAACAGATCATCAACAACATTGTTTCCATCAACAGATTCAATGGCTATCCCGGTTCGAAACCACTCCCAATACACAGCATTTCAGTAAGCATTTGTGACTGTAGTTCCTCCATAATTCAAAATGTCCAGCCTAGCGGTCTCCCTGCCGTCTCTGCTGACTAGTTTACATATATTCTATTCTTACTCCATCCCCGGTTTATTACTATTCGTTAAACATCACGGGCGGTGCTGGGGTGCCTTTGCAACACTGCACAAAAATAGAGATACAAAGAGCAATCTTTGCAAGCAACGCCAATATTGTCCTTGTAGCTCAAGGTCTGTGATGCAATGCTCTAGCGTCACAGACCTTGACTCTAGCATTGCGTCAAGGTCTGTGACGCTGTTAAGCCCGGAGAGTAAACCGGTCACTGACTGGTCTTCATACACAAGTGAACAAATGTTTTGACGTCATCAGCGGATCACTGATTGGTGTCGCTTCTTTGATGCCATCATCACCTGTTCCCTCCCATTAGTATCAAAGTTCTGTCCCTATTCTGTTTCTAGAAGAACAAAGACTGCTCTTCTAGAAACAGAATTAGGAATACAATTATATCCTAACATCACGTGGAAAATTCTAGATTAACAATTCCTTAGATAATTACACAAATTCTCGTTAGCTTTCACCCTAACGTAATCAAACAGCCGCTTTTATGCCAGTCTGAAAAACCACTTTCGCATAAAATATTAAATTCAAAAT